AGCTGCTCAGATTTCATGCGTGCACCACCGCACCCAACCAGTAGAGTGTATTTTGATAATTATACATACATAGAGTATAATTTATTCTAATTAGGATTTAATTCTTGTGATTGTACATGATGTGGAGTTATGCCTCATGTATTCATATATAAACATAGGAAAGTTAGGGGGGATGGAAGTAGGAAAGACAGTGGAATTAATCTGATATAACTTTCCTATGTTTCATATATAAATACACTGAACCAGTAAGTATCTTCTGTTGATGAAACTACTTTATATTTATTTTACATTGTCTAAAGATATCACTCTACTATTCAATATACCAGGCATTGGCCACATGTGGCTATGTAAATTTAAATAAACTTAAATAGTTGTTACATTTGTCTATTCTCTATTGCCATAACAAAATGCCTGAAGGCTGTGTACTTTATGGTTGTAGTTTATTGTGCTTTGCTTATTACACTGCACAGATACTGTGTTTTTGTTTTTTTTTTACATATTGAAGGTTTGAGGTGACCCTATGTTGAGGAAGTCTGTTGGCACCTTTTTTCAGCAGCCTGTGCTCACTTCATGTATGTCACATTTTAGTAATTCTTGAAATGCTTCAAACATTTCCATTTTTATTCTTATTTGTTGTAGTGATCTGTGATCAATGGCCTTTGATATTACAATTATATTTGTTTGAGTGTTCTAAGAAAAATGACTGTATAAGACAATAAACCTGGTAGATAAAGGTGTTCGTATTGCTCTACCAACTGGCTCTTCTACTGAGGCTTCCCTGTTCTCTGAGGCATTGCAATATTGAAATTAGGCCAATTAATAAATGTTCAAGTAAAAGAAAAAGTTGTAAGTATCTTACTTTAAATAAAAAGCTAGAAATTATTAAGGCAAATTAAAAACTGAGATAGGTTGAAAGCTAGGCCTCTTGCCCCAAGTAGCCAATTATGAATACAAAGGAACAGTTCTTGCAGGAAATGAAATGTGCTACTTTCGTGAACATACAATGCAATAACTTTTTTTTTTTTTGGCCTCTGAGGGTAGATTTTGCCTTAACCCTTACCCCCACAATATATTTTACTTCAAACTATACATACTCCTACTTCATTGAATAGGACTAACTACAGGTTGAATATTCCTTATCTGAAATTCCTGGGACACAGTATTTTAGATTTCTGATTTTTTTACACTTTTGAATATTTTCATATGCTTATTGAGATATCTTGGCTCTGGGACCCAGGTCTGAACATAAAGTTAATTTATATTATGATCATGGCTGGGAGAGTAATAAGTTAATGTGTCCCTAAAGGGTCCTACTGATAGGCTGGCCGTGGGCTTTTGAAAAAGTGTAATAGTTGTGACTCTATACAGTCTAATGATTCACCATGTCTTCCGTATTCTCTTTCTTTGCGACTTTGAATGTGTAATAATTGGTAAAGAAGCAGACAGCAGTCTGAGCAAAGCAAATATGTACAAAGAGGAAAAACAGAAAAAGTATGAGTAACTCTGGAATTAAAACTATGAAGCAGCAGAAAATTTAAATAAACAGAGTGGGAGGAACAGAGGGAATTAACTGGAAGTAACAGAAGCAGTGGAAGCAGAGGCAGAATATTTGAGATGTATAATGGTAAAGCGGAGTTGGGAGCAGTAGCTACTAAAGGGTAATTGCTGGAGTTACTCTTTGGGTCATCAGAGCAGTTGTTATATTACTAAAATTGCTGAATGAGGAAGAGTTCTTTGTGAGGTTGGGTTGAGCAGCTCTTTGGATTATTCCTTATTCCTGGTGATCTCATTTGATCTTCAACCCCTGAGTAAATAAGTGATCTCTATGGTAAATTAACTTTTCCTCTGTGGTTTGTTCCCTGACAGGGCCATAACCTCAATACTAATAGACTTTTATTTCTGGTCTTTTTGGTGCTTATGAATATTTGGCCACGTTATGTTTTCTGTTTGATAGTATACATTGTTCTGCTTGAATGTTTCTGGTTAAATATTCTTCAATGAATAAAATTTTACCTTGTATAGTATAAAATCCCAGATTAATTTAGTAATGGGTAGAATTTTTCACATATTTCTTAAAAATAATTATTCATATTTGAGCATCAAAAAATTTTAAGCCATAAAACGTATTACATGTACTTTACTTTCTTAGTTTACCTTGAGAACTTTCTAGTCTTGAGGATTAAATTGTACTGAAAAATATGAAAGTTTCCTCATTGGATGTCCTTTCTGTTGGATTGAGGGCCTTAAGGTAAAATTGCCTCAGATGTCTCTCCTTTTTATATTTTTAAAGTTAAAACATGACATTTAGAAAATATATTGATCTAATGTCATAGCTTGATGACTAATCAGAAAATGAACACATCCCTATAATTGCTGCTCAGTTCAAACACATGGTTTATATCAGCAGCAGACACTTATTTCCCAGATAATACTTCTGCCTTGTTTATCCTGACTCCTTAACACAGCTATAGATTACTTTAGTTTGCGTTTGAATGTTACTTAAAATGGAGAAATGCAGCCCATTCTTGTCTGACTTCTTTAACTTGATTATATATGTAATATTTATCCATATTGTATATGGCATAAATTTGTTTTTATTTTAATTGCTACACTGTGTTCCACTCTATAAATATACATCTACTTACTATTTTCTGCTGACTTTTGAATTGTTTCCAGTTTAGTGCTACTGTGACTAGTTTTGTTGTGAATACTCTCCTTTATATCTTTTGGAACATATATTTGCATTTCTACTAGTATATATTTATAGGGAAGTGCTAGGTCATAGGTTGTGCATGTATTCTGCTTTAGTAGGTGCTTTCTAACAGATTTTGAAAGTGATTATAGTAGTTTACTCTCCTGCCCATAATCAACAAAAGTTAACCTATATTCTTGCTAACACTTTGTATTGTTAAAACTTTCTAAATTTTAGTCCTTTTGGTGGGTACATAGTGGTATCTCATTCTATTCTTATTTTGAGTTTTCCTGATGAAAAATTGGATTAGGCAAGTTTTTATAATATGAAAAGCTATTTGGATAGTCTTTGTTCAATATTTAAATATTTTGACCAGTTTTTCTATTGTTTTTTTTACCATTTTATGAGTCTTTTTATGAGTTTTTAATTTTTTGGACTTATTTAGGGTTTTTTTATGAATTATTTTATGATTTTTTCTATTGTTTTTTATGATTTTATGAGTTTTTTTGTTTTAATTTTCATTGTGAATTTGAGGACTTTTATCATTTGACTAATAGGCACATCTTCACTCTCAACCAGTAACTTGTTATTTCAATATCTTTTCAGAAATGTAAGTTCCTACTTTTGATGAAGTTAAAATTTGTAATCCTTTTTTTTGTGCTGTGTTTAAGAAAATATTTCCTTAATCCAATGCCATTGATCTTATCTTCTAGAAGTTTAATTATATTACCTTTAAAAATAATAATGAAGGCATACATTGTATTTGAAATTGATTTTTGTGTTTGGTATAAAATAGGGACTAATATTTGTTTATTTTAGTTATCTAGTTATTCAATTATTCTAACATCATTTAGCTGAAAAGAGTTTTTCTCATCACTTTTGTCATAAATCAAGTGGTATTTTTCTTGTCATATTGCACTGGCAAGGACCCCTTTGATATGTTGAATAGAAGTAGTGAAAATAAATCTTTTTCTTTTGTTTCTGGTGTTATTGGAAGGCAAGCTTTTGACCTGTCAACATTAAGGGAGATTTTTGTTATAGTTGTTTTAAATGATAATCTATCAGATTAATAATATTCCCTTTTCTTCCCAATTTGTCAGGATATTTTAAAACTTTGCAAATGGACACTCAAAATTTTAAATAAAAATATTTTCAATGCAATATTTTATCATTCTTGAGGGCTTGGCTTGATAAGTTTTGATATTTGCACCACTCAAAATAAGAGAAAGAACATATTCATCATTCCAGAAAATTCTCTTGATCCCCTTTTCAATTCATGTTCTTCTTTCTCATAAAGGGAAGTATTTTCCCCCGCTCTTTCTGGGAATTGAACCTAGGGCCTCATGCATGCTAGGTGAGCACTCTACCTCTGATCTATATCCCTAGCCCTCTTTATTTTATTTTAAAATAGAGTCTTGCTAAGTTGCCCCTGCTGGCGTACAATTTGTGATCCTATCTCAACGCCCCAAGAAGCTGGGATTAAAGGTGTATGCCACCATGCTTGGCACTTTTTGGCTTTTATTGATATAGTGCTTTCCTTTATTTGACTTTATATAATTGGAATTATGTATTTTGTATATTTTTATTTCATTCAATTAAATATTTGAGATTCATCTGTGTCATAGCATGTATTTTCATTGCCTGAATATGCCATATGTATAAATTACATACACAATGTATAAAATATACAAATTGGATATTGTTTCCAGTTTTGAGCTATAATAAGACTGCTTTGAAATTTTTTTCTTGTATAAGCCTTTTTGTGAGTTATGAATATACCTAGAAATAGACCTAGTGGGTCATAGGATAGATGCATGTTTAACTGTATATGGAACTGCTAAATAGTTCTCCAGCATGGAGACTGGGTAGGCTGGGATCCAGGATATAGTTGGTATAATTTTTCTTGGGCTGGAAGAGTTTAATTTTTACCACTTTAATTGAAGAGTAGGAAGAGAGGAGTTCAGGGACAGATGAGTATATAACATTAATGGGAGGAAGTCAAGGTAATTATTTATTTCTTCTGGAAAAGAGGCAGATGATTCAACAGCTGATAGAGGACAATTGGTTGGGTTGAATGTAAGGTAAGTCCAGAAGGTTGTAATAGATTGCTGTGGAGAGTGGGAAGGGGAAACTAACTTAATATCCAGTGTGTGTTGAGGGTCTGTTTGAGGTTGTTATTCCTGATTTGTAGACTTATCAATTTGTACAATTGTATAGCCTTTTTCTTGTGGCAGTGCTTAGTGTAGTGAAAGTGTAAACATTATGCTCAGTGTCTCACCAGAGTATTTTTTTGTTTTGTTTTGCATAGTCATCAGATCAAGTCATTACAGTACAGTAACACAGGAGACATGATTCTTGTTGTATCTGGAAGCTCACAGGCCAAGGTGATTGATAGAGATGGTTTTGAAGTAATGGAATGTATAAAGGGAGACCAGTATATTGTGGACATGGCCAACACAAAGGTAAGCATTTAACAGAATATTTTAATGAATTCAATTCAGCACACATTTATATTAAAAACTTATTTGAGTTGACCTGTAAAATTCATTACAAAAGTTTGTGTCTTTAAACAACAATGTATTATTTCTCATTATTATATAGATTGATTTATTGGAAGGTTCTTCTTTCTGTAGTGTTGTCTGGATGATCAGATGGCTACAGGGTTCAAGATTGACTCACTTACATGGCTTATAGCTGGAACACTGTCCTATGTCATTTCTTTCTTTCTTTTCCTCTTTACTACTCCCAAACACACCCCTGTTGTACACTCAGATGCTCTTTTACTCTTGCTCTCAATCTTACTCTTGCTGTCACTCTCTATTTTTCACTTGTCTAGTTCAGGCCTTTTCACAGTGGGGTTTAAGGTAATTGATGGCTGGTTTCTATGAAGAATGAACACGGAAACTGTAGATTTCTTAATGTCTGGCTTTAGATTTTCATATCCTAGAACCAGCCCAAATTTGGAGGAAGGAAAGGGAGACTTTGCTCTATGATGGGTGAATAACAAGATCAGACTGGAAAATATCACTTGGGATGGAGATACTGATGCAGCCAACATTGGCAACACAGTCTGCCAGCTATTTGATCTAGGTTTTAAGACGAGAAGAAAGAGAGTCTCATTAGCCTTTTTTGATAAAGATTTTAAATAGGATAATGATATCTTAAAAATAATGTACAAATATCAGTCAACTATAGTTACAATTAATGCTGTACAACTTATTGTGTGAAACAATAGTTGTTTATTCTTGCTAATGTGTCTTTGGATTGACTGGGTTGGGCTGCATGCTGCAGTTGAAGTTTAGGTCTGTTCCATGCATCTTGGTTCTTAGACCAGTGGACTACTATATAATAGTGAAATTCTTAGTGATGGCACAAACACAGGGAAATCACCAACTTTGGAAGTACATTTCAAGCCTTTGCTTATATCATATCCTCTAACATTCCACCAGCTGAGGAAAACCCCATGGTTGTGGCTAATTTCAATAGACTGGAGAAATTTGCCCAAGTATATAGTGAGAAGAACTGTATTATGTGAAAAAGGGTGTAGATGTTGGAAGCAGTTATAGATTGGGAATAGTAGTGTCGTCTACCACAGAGGATATGGTTGATGCACAATTCTGAGTCTTCATTTTCATTCTTACTTTTACTTTTTTCCCTCCTTCCTGCATACTACTTGCTTTCAATATGCTAATTTTCATGGCTTGTGCCTAAATCAAGATCTTGTATGAGATTGGATTGTCTCATATACATATGTGTATATATGTATATCTGTGTGTATACACACACTCACTCACACACACACACACACACACACACAGGATTGAATTCAGGGTTTCTTTACCACTCAGATACGTTTCCATCCATTTTCATTTTTTATTCTGAGACCAGGTCTTGCAACTTAAGTTGCCCAGGCTAGCCTCAAACTTGAGCTCCTCCTGCCTCAACCTCCTGAGTTGCTGGGATTATAGGCTTGTGCCACTATGCCCAGCTGTGGATTCCATATTTGTAAAATTGCCTACTTGGTCCTTTTACCTCTGAATTAATGCACATGACACTTTCATAGTCACTTATGGATATATGCTTGCACAGAATGGCACAAAATTTGAGTTTGAACAAGATGACACTCATTTTGTTTCAGTTCTCGTACTGTAATCAAGTATTCTTTTTATGCCTGCTTCATGTCATGCTTTCATTTTCTTGCTTATTATTGGTGATTTTGCTACCAAGCATACTGCTGAAGTGCTGTAGTGCTGTCTTGTGTTTCCAAGTGCAAGGAGTATGTGATGTTTCTTATAGAGAAAATACATGTGTTAGAGAACGTTCACTTAGGCATAAACTATAGTGCCCTTGACTGTGAGTTCAATATTAATGAATCAACAATATATATTAAGTTCAGGTGTCCTTAAAATTTATAGTTATGGTAGACAATCCTTCTAAGAAAGTATGAGGAAGGGAATTTTTTTTTTTGCCAGTCTCTAAATTCTTCTTAATTATTTTAGCTACCCTGGTTTTTTATGTTATAAAAAGGCTAAGACTTTATGGATTTAAATTTTACTTAAGAAAGTTTCAAGAAGAAAAGAATCTGATTGGTCCTGTATCTGACTCTTTCTGCCTTCTCAGACTTATACCAAAAATCTAGGTAGAAATGCAGGAAAGCAAAAAATATAAGTTATTTGCCAATATACAAAAAACTACTATATAGTGTAATTTATATATTGTAACTTACCCATGCTGCCAATATTATCTGTGTTTTAATTTCAAATTCATGGTTTATTTTTCTTTCTACATTTCACAAAAGCAAATGTAATTAATTGACTACTTATCTAGGAAATGTTATAGATATCTTAATAATAGTCATTGGTTTGAGTGATGGGTTTTAGTAATGCAAATAGTATTATTTGAAAATAGACAATTTCATATTGTACTTTAAAAACAAACATTTAAGTCTCTTTTCTGATTCTAAGAGAAATTAGTAATTTGAAGTTTTACTGGAAAATTCAATGAATAGAATGTTAAAGATTTTAGATATTTGATCTATCATGATAAATATTAAATAATTTAAATGAAAACAAGCTTTTGTAATTACATGTCAAATTTTTGTATTCTTAGGACTTGTTTCTCTAAAATTCTTTAAATCATTTATGTTTATGAATATGTAAATATGTGTTTATATTTTAATAGTATTGTATGAGTACAGAACTACTTTTTGCTGTTAGATACTATAACAGTGCATTATAGTTGAATATAGAAAATGTGAAAAATAGAAAATAAGAGAAATTATTCATAATTCACTTAAATATAATCACCATTAAAATTTAAGTTTCTATGTCTTTTATTTCTATGTTTTCCTATGAAAGATGTTTTTGGCTCACATAGAACCTTTGTCACTGATTGCTTGTAGTCATGTTTTTGCATTTTACAATCTTAGAAATTATGTGCAGATGCCTCAGGGACTACGGAGGAGTGTATGGGAATGAGGTGTAGGGGCCTTCTATTTCAGCCAAAAAATTCCAATTTTTTCTATCTTAAATGTTGGAGTTTTCCATAAGTTTTTCTTTGAAAGTCAATTTTGCTGATGCTGATGGGTTGTGGCTTGGCAGAAGAGCGCTTGCCTAGCACGTGTGAGTCGCTGGGTTCGATCCTCATCACCACATAAAAATAAATAAATAAAATAAAGGTATTGTGTTCAACTACAACTAAAAAAATATTTTAAAAAATATGAAGACCAATGGTCTGCAGATTATGGAATAAATGGTTATTTTTTCTAGGAAAATGGCACATAACTTCTTCAACTTTGAGTGGATAGAAAAGTGGGACAAGAATATGCAGGAATCATCTTATAATCAATCTCTGAACCATTCAAAAGCATTATTTAAAAACCGTAATTATAGTGTCATCTAAAAGTCATTTACCCTAAATCAGAGTTTTTATACATTGCTTCCAGTCAGGAAGTATTTTTCTCTATTACTTCCAACTGTTTGGCACACACTTTGCTTGAAATTCATATGGGACTCTTTGGCCTCGAACTCATAAATTTGTGACTATTAAGTCAGTTATTCCTATAAAATCACAACTCCATAACTAATCAACTTTTTAATTAAGTTAAAATCGAAGATATTTTAGTAGGTCACTAGTAAATGAATACTTTAATGGTAATAATCTTATAATCTCATTATTAAGCTTTGGGGTTTTTTTTTGTTTTTTTCCCCCCAGGTTTTTAATATAACTTTTATGTTTTAAAAGTTTATATGTACCTTGCAGGAAACAGAAAAATACAAGTAAAGAACAAAGTCGTCCAGTTATAAGCAGTTTAATTGTATACATCCTTCCAGGGCCAGTGTGTACATACAAAACATCCTATTTTGTGTGAATGAGGTTGTAGTGTGTATTGTGGTTTCCCACACATCATGAATATTTGTCAATTCAAAACCCCAAAGTTACATGAATGTTTTTGATAAACAAGAATACACTGTACCAACTCAATTTGTTAGAAAATATTGTAATCTGGTGTTCTTGGGGAGAAAAATTTAACTGAGGATAGAAATGGCAATAAGTCTCTAGGTGAATGTATTGGCAGAGTTACAACTAAAGTAATGCATTCTCTCTCTTTTTAAAAAAAATATTTATTTTTTGGTTGTAGTTGGACACAATACCTTTATTTTATTTATTTATTTTTATGTGGTGCTGAGGATCGAACCTAGGGTCGTGCATGTGCTAGGCGAGCGCTCTACCACTGAGTCACAACCCCAGCCCCCCTCCCCAACAATGCATTCTCTTAATACTCAATTTAGGGGGCTGAAGCTGTGGCTTATTGTTAGAGGGCTTGCCTAGCATGTGTGAAGCACTGGGTTCAATCTTCAACATCATTATAAATAAATAAGTAAATAAATAAATAAAGTAAGTTAGATTGTGTCTATGTTAAAAGAAATAAAAATAAAAAAATAAAAGACACACAGGGCTTCTTTATAAAAATACTAAATTTAAAATGAGGCATAAAACAAAAGAGTACACCAAACATAATATTTCTAAGAGAATTCATTATCAAATTTCTATTAATAAACTATGAGCAAGAAAGCAAATTCCCAGTGAATTACAGTATGTCTATAGTGTAGTCAGATGATGCACACACATAAATGGCTCACATAAATATGCAAATCCTTGCACTTGCTTCTATCTTTCCCTTTGTGTTTCCTTCTGCCCCTTTGCTGCCAGTTCAATGAGCAAGTCCCGATATACACTGCCCAGAGGTATAACAAGTCTATGTCCAAAAATACATCTTTTCTATCAGTTATACAATATCTACAGGTTGGCTAATTCATTACCTCTACTTTTGTGATACATGGTCACCTCAGGACATTAGAAAGCTTAGATATTGTGAAATAAAGTATGAACTTTGTGCACAATAAATACAAGTACTTTACCAGAAATGCACATACAGATCTATATTTATAATGTAAAGCTG